AATTGCTGGATAAGTTGGCGGTTCATTCCGCTGTGGCGACCCCAGATTAATAAAGGGACTAAGCCGACAAGAAAATGAATGAATGAATGATGATTTCTATTCCGACAGTTTGTTGAACTCTTATTGACACTAAGATGTGCAAAAACAATTGAAAGCACATTTGTAAGCTGTAAGCACATTGCATGATGATTACCAAAATGAGGCGGTGCATGTACAATATGTGCATAATTCTAATAGAGAAATTCACATCAAATGCATTGTACACAGACCTCTTCACAAAATCTAAAACTAAAATGTTACACTTAATTAATATAAATGAGGCTGTGACTCTACAATTTAGACATATTGGTCTAATAAATAAATCCACATCATGTGGATTGTGACCAGACCTTTGCACAAAAACAAAAAAATGATAGCTTTACAAGCGATTACACAAATCAGCACATATTGTACAATGTGCACTTACTTGTACGCTTGACATTGTACACATACCCTTGCACCAAAACTAAAGGACTAAAATTTTATGTGTGACCGAAAACCAGGCAGTGTGTGTACAATATACATGCATACTGTACTAATAAAAAAATTCAAACAGGCCTTTGCACAAAAACTAAAACAACACACAATTACAAAAATCAGGCATACAGTGTGCACATATTAAACATATGAAATTTGCATATTGCTCATTGTAAAAGACTCTTAGACAAACTAAAACTTACTTAATCACTTTACAGTAATTACCTCCTTGTTGGAGCAAATAAACACTAAAATGATGGGTTGCTTCAACCTAAATTTGAGAAAAAGTATCCATATTTTACCCAAACTGGGTTTAAAACTACCCAGCATTATTCCAAGGTCTGTCTATAAAAACTAACAAGCAATCTTTGCTACATTCCTCTTATATAACAGATTAATAAACAACTAACAAATTAAAACAATTTTTACTAATATAATTAAAGGCGTCAAAGTGGCGCAGGGCTCAGCATGATCGCCTCACATTAAGAAGGTCGCTTTTTCGAGCCTCGGCTGTGTCAGTTGCTGTGAGATTGTGTTGAAATGATAGTGTTGCCAATTACCATGTTGTTTAGTGATCTGTTGCATAAAACCGCACAGAGATAAAAAAGGGATTCTAAAAGGATTTTCTGATTCTTAATAAGCCAGAAAGTGAAAGGGGCCAATGACAGAAGTGCAGTGTTTAGCACCCCTGGGGCAACTTGGGTTTCATTAGGTTTTGTTCAAGGACACAGTGGCCACAAACAAAGGAAAACCGATGCCAGTCTGAAGTTGCCACTCAGCACCCCGTTTTTAGATTTATAACTGTTTTCAAAATGAAAGTTAAATTCCTCAGTACACTCTCATCCTAATGATGCTGACAAACATTACATCTAAGTCAATGAACAAGGAATCAAAAATACATTTAATTTTATTGAAGACAGTACAGGAATCATCGATGCATTACCTTGTGGTTTTACAAATGAAAACACTGCATGTCCTTAGAATACCTGCGGCATTTTTATTGATCTTTCCTCTCGCGTGTCTTTCCCTTTCAGACTTTACTTCCTCTTCACAATTATCCCTGAAATACGTCTTGGCAGAAAGCAGTGTCCTCAGGTCAATGAAACGTTTCCAACGCTGAACAGTAGCCATTAAAATTCTGTGTGTGATCTTTAAAGACACAAGACAGAGTAACCTCATCCAGCAAGACAGCAGTAAAGAAGACTACACTAATAGTCCACCAAGCAGGAAATATGCAGCAAAAGACATTAGGACAATTAAAATATGACACCTGATTTTTGAGTGCTATTACAGTGGACTGATATTAATGTGTCCATAAGTAAAGCTAAAATTATCCATATCAATACCATCAATATCCATATCATGCCCATCAGATAATTTATTATAGCCTCCAGAAGTTGCCCGATTTTGGTGTCTGAATACATTGTAGCTGTTTTGGTAGCCTGTGGCCTCAAATGCAAATGAGCTTCTTCTTCTTACCACCGTTCCCCCCACGTGTGTGTCTGTGTCTCATCATGCAATGTGTCAGATAAACAGCACAGTGATAGAGACAGACTTGGATGAAGCTGAAATACAGCTTTAATGAAGTTTGAAAGACAGGGAAGAAGGAGGCAGAGAAGCGACAAACTTTTAAATAAGTTTTAATAAAAAAATACTAAACGTGAGACTCGAGGCAGTTGATGTGTCTATGTATCCCTCGTTTGTGTGCCTCAAACACACTCACGGCTCTCTGCCCTGCCTCACTTGCCACATACCCCCATCACTCCACGCAGGCCAAGGGCCCCCGTGTCAGCACCTAAACTCCGTGTTTCAGGACCCGCGAAACCTGAGAATATTAGGGCCAAGAGAAAGGAGCCACATAGCGGAGGACAGACTGAAGAGCGACAGAGAGAGGGGAGAAAGAAAAAAATTTGGGGTTCAGTTTTCCAGACACACTGCCACTCGGTCCTCAACCAGCTGAGATATTTGACGATTTGCTGGGAGCCCTGTGGAGGAATCGATCCACCTGTCCATTTTCTGGTTCTCCTGGCTGGCAGCATTTCTGGTCTCCTGCTCCGCTCCCCTTCGGTGGATGGACAGTTCGGCATCATGGCGGAGAGCAGTGACTCCCCGGGCTCTCTGGGAAATGATGAGTCCTACACAGCCATATCACCCTGCACCCCAAGACCGGTTAATCACTGAAGCTAAGCAGGCCTGAGCCTGGTCAGTACCTGGATGGGAGACCACTAGGGAACACTTGGTTGCTGTTGGAAGTGGTGTTAGTGAGGCCAGAAGAGGGCGCTCAACCTGTGGTCTGCGTGAGTCCTAATGCCCCAGTAAAAGTGAAGGGGACACTGTCATTGGGCGCCGTCTTTCGGATGAGACGGTAAACCGAGGTCCTGACTCTCTGTGGTCATTAAAAATCCCATGGCACTTCTCCTAAAAAAGCAGGGGTGTAACCCCGGTGTCCTGGCCAAAGTCCCTCTATCGGCCCTTACGATCATGGCCTCCCAATCATCCCCTTCCACCAAATTGGCTCTATCACTGTCTCTCCACTCCACTAATAGCTGGTGTGTGGTGAGCACACTGGCGCCGTTGTCCTGTGGCTGCCGTCGCATCATCCAAGTGGATGCTGCACACTGGTGGTGGTGTGGAGAGACCCCCCTTATGATTGTGAAGCACTTTGGGTGTATGGCCATACACAATAAATGCGCTATATAAATACATCAACTCAACTCAACACAAATGTCGTTTGCAGTACACACACACACACATATGTGCTTTTACTGACACCATGCGGCGGTGGTGATTATAATGGTAAAAAATTACATGGCGATTTTTACTGCCTTTAATCAAACTTGCTCTAGTCTAAAAAGTTTTCAGCTTATAAAAATCATATATATTATATAAAGTTTTATTTATATAGATATTTTAATTCCAGTTTATTTGCAAAAAAAATGTTCTGTGGACGTGTATACATATTATTATAGAAACATGGTGCCTTTCAATCACGCCTGTGGGTGAGGAAAACCGCACTCCAACATCAAGTTGCGGTGCACCTCAATATCACTGGGATTTGGGTACTATTTTAACATCAGGAGGTTTAAAAAAGAGACTTGTTGGGTTTATCTCCACAATATGACCGTGAACACACGATACCTACACACAGTTCTGTCCAAACAGCTTACAAAAGAGGATTTTCATCATGTGATGATTCACCTTTAACTTATTTTAACTCGTTAATCAGGTTTCAGCTAACATTTTTGAGTTTTACAAAGTTTTACTTAATACTGTAAGTTTGATTGTTGTAAGTTGAGATGACGTGAACTGTTCATTTGATTCAACTAAAAAAATTAAAGCAGCAAGACTTTTTACAGTGTTCATTTAAAGTAAGCTTATGTTAAGGTGGTGTACACTGCAGTTTCTGTGCTGGCAGTGCCTTAGACATTACTTTTAAAAATTAAATAAATGAATCACTGTTTTGTTTTCATAGACAAGTGCGTGTATGAGCCATTGTTCATCTTTTAATTTAATACCATTGTGCAATTTACATAAAAATACAAAAGGAGACAGCAGAGGATGACAGTGAGCAGTAGCTTTCCTTTTTGTTTTGATAGCTGTAAAACTACGCCATATGTTGGAGGTTAAGTTAGAATCAGGACTGATAAGAGAACGTTGTGTTATCTACATTTTTCACCTTCATACTAAACTTACATTTTTAAATGGCAAAGTTTAAATTTCATAACTCATATAACTAGTGTGTTACTCAACATGTCCTGGTATGCTTACCAATGAGGTCGATATAGGCAGAAAGTGTTTGGTCTTTGTGTCAGTTTAAATGCATTCAACCACACAGGAATTTCCTAAATCTGCTTCAAACTGTTTTTTGACACTTGCAGTCAGAATAATCCACTTGTGTTGAAATGGATTAAAATTCATTTTAATACTGGTATAAACATGGTTAAAGTGGTCAAAATAATCCAGCTCAGAATGATTTCGGTACCATTTACACTTGTATTCAGCATATTCCACTTGAGAGCAGATTGACGAATATGTACCTTAATATGAGATCTGAACAATGCCAATATAGTTAAATGGACAATCTCAAAATGGTTTAGGTTCTGTTTACACCTGCATTCAGAATAATCCACTTGTGATGAAATTCATTAAACAGCATTTAATACTGGGTATGAACAGGGTTAAAGTGGTCAAAAATGGTCTAGCTCAGAATGGTTTCGGTCCTATTTACACTTGTATTCAGCATATTCCACTTAAGAGAAGATTGACGAATATGAACCAATACTAAATCTGAACAGTGCCAATGTATTTGAACGTGGAAAATCTCAAAATTGTTTTGGTTCTGTTTACACTTGCATTCAGAGTCATTCTCTTGTGATCAAATTGATTAAAATGCATCTTATTACTGATAAAGTGGTTTTAAAAATGGACAAGCTCAAAATTATTTAGGCTCTATTTACACTTGCACTCAAAGTCATCCGCTGTGATCAAATTTATTAAAATGCATTTAATACAGGGTATAAACAGGGTTAAAGTGATCAAAAATGAACAAGCTCAAAATGGTTTCGCACTTGTTTACACTTGTATTTAGCATATTTACTTGAAATGTTTTGACAAATATGTACCTTATTACTAGATCTGAACAGTGCCAAAGTGGTTGAATGTGGACAATCTCAAAGAGGTTCTGTTCTGTTTACACTTGCATCCAGAGTCATCCTCTTTTGATCTAATTGCTGAAAATGCATTTTAATACTGGTTTAAAAAGGGCAAACGTGTTTTTAAAAAAAATGGACAAGCTCAAAATGGTTTAGGTTCTGTTTAAACTTGCATTCAGGGTAATCCACTAGTGATCAAATTTATTGAAATACATTTGAACCTGGGTATAAACAGGGTTAAAGTGACGTGTTTATACTTGTATTCACCATATTCAACTTGACATCAGATTGACAAATTTGCACCCTAATACTAGATATGAACAGTACCAAAGTGGTTGAATGTGGACTATTTCAAAATGGTTTAGGTTCTGTTTACACTTGCATTCAGAGTAATCCACTTGTGTTAAATTGCTCAAAATGCATTTAATACTGGATATAAACAGGGTTAAAGTGGTCAAAAATGAACAAGGTCAAAATGGTTTTGGTCCTGTTTTTTGCTTGTATTCACCATATTCTACTTGAGATCAGATTGATGAAAATGTATCTTAATACTAGATCTGAACAGTGGTTAAAGGTGGACAATCTCAAAATGGTTTAGATTCTGTTTACACTTTTGTTCAGCCACTTGAGATCAAATTGATGAATTTGCATTTTAATTCTGGTTTAAACAGGGCTAAAGTGGTTTAAAAAATGGACAAACTCAAACCGGTTTCAGTCCTGTTTACACTTGCAATCAGAATAATCCACTTGTGATGAAATTTGTTAAAATGCATTTAATACTGGGCATAAACAGGGTTGAAGTGATCAAAAATAATCTAGCTCAGAATGGTTTCAGTCCTGTTTACACTTGAATTCAGTCATCTATTTGTGATTTCTCCAATAGTATCTGACAGCAGAATTTTAATGCTTGTATAAGCAGGGCTAAAGTGGTTTAAAAAATGGACAAGCTCAACATGGTTTTTGTTCTGTTTACACTTGTATTTGAAGTCATCAACTTGTGATTAAATTGACAAAAGATGTATTTTAATAAAAGGCCAAAATGGACAAAAATGGATTAGCACAAAATGGCTTTGGTTCTGTTTACACTAGGATTTAGTCATTCACTTGCTATTGAATTTTGATGAAAACGCATTTCAATACTAGTTATAAACAGGGCTAAAGTGGTCAAAATTGACAAGTCAAAATGGTTTCAGACCCCATTTACACCCGCACCATTGTCCACTTGTGAATGAACCTAAAGCTTAATCTCTAAATACCAGGTGCAAACAAGACCATTTTGTAGAGAGCCCACCATTTTCTACTGTACTGGGAAAAGAGTAGATTGCCACCAATAGATTGTTAATGATCCCCAAGTTCAGCTTATTGTCACGTCAGACAAAAGTGGCATTGTTTTTGCTGTGGTTGCTCTTCTTGCTTGACGTTTTAACTGAAGGCTTGATTGATTTTTTTGCCACTGGATCAATGCGCTTTTTCGTAGGCAGCAGTTCAGCTTGGTCTGAGGTCTGATAAACTCCTGTTCTCATTCTTCCTTTGCTGGTTTTCAGATCACCAACCACCCTCTCCAAGCCCTCGGATTCTCTATTATCACCACCAAGGTCACCACAATGGATCCCATCAACGTCAAGAGCCCCTCGCACATGAAGAGGAGAGCGCTTGCCTGCTCCTCTGACCCTGGGTGGAGCTGATGGAGGAGCGGGAGGTGGATGTGGAGGTGGAGGAGGTGGGGCGGAGGGTGCCCTCCTGTGGGAATATTTGGAAACACTGGTCCTGTCTCTCTGCCGTCTTTCATTTTTCACTAAGAATTGAAAAACACAAGGCGAGAGGTGCAGATATTAAGGTTGTTCATTTATAGAGCACAATTTTTCTGCAGGAATGTTGATAGATAATAATAGCCTTCCTAAATTATTAGCCCGCATTATAATATTACATAATAGTTTTAATAACTCATTTCTAATAGCTGATTTATTTTATCTTTGCCATGATGACAGTGAATAACATTTGACCAGATGTTATTCAAGATACTATATTCAGCTTAAAATGACATTTAAAGGCTTAACTTGCTTATAGGTTAACTAGGCAAGGGTTATTGGGCAAAGGTTTGTTCTATAGACTATCGAAAGCTTAATATTAAGCTTAATATTGACCTTAAAATGTCATTTGAAAAATTAAAAACTGCTTTTATTCTTGTCAAAATAAATAAAATAAGACTTTCTCTAGAAGAAAAAATATTATAGGAAATACTGCGAAAAATTCCTTGCTCTGTTAAACATCATTTGGCAAATATTTGAAAAAGAAGAAAACAAAAATGAACAGGAGGGCTAATCATTTTGACTTCAACTGTATAAAACCTCATATGATATGGCAAATCTGAAAATGATTTGTCATAAACACTGTGCCATATACATTACAGAGGATAGATTACAGAGTTTTACAAAAGTGAGCACTTCAGTCACTTTCATGCACCTCATTCAAAACAGACATACACAGTACTGAATGGAGATAGGCTGATTTTCTCCATCATATTATTGAAGCACGATCAGCATTGTGTGTTTTGCCTTGATTAATAAGCATAGTCATGTTTTAGACATTCCTGGCTCACCACATTAATAAAGGAGCATGCATTCTGCTGATAAACTGAGCGACTCTGCTGCTACACAGGTATAGGCCATCTCTGTGAAGCTCTGTTTAATGCTCAAAACACAACATATGTTCCTTTTTCTGGTCTATTTGCATTTTGTATGTGGAAATATTTTATGAATATATAGTGAGCAAAAAAGGGTCTATTTTGTATACATTATTGATGAACTTGTTCAAACATTGCATTTGGTTTACTGAAAGGTGATTTCATTTCAGTTGGACTCTATTTATTTTGTCCATAAGTATATCATAACTTTGCACCAGATTGTCATACAGACTTGCGATTGGGCTCATTTACTCAGACTACCAATCTGCCAATCACTGATGACCTTTCTACTTTCTAGCCACACCCTAGCAACCACTTACAGCATCCTAGCATCTGTCCTATAGACTTCCATTATAAAAAAAAACTGCCATTGACTTTACATTGGATAAACTAACAATATACCAATCCATACTAGCAATATACTAATCCAAACTAGAAACACACTAGCAAACATACTAATCATACTAGCAAGATGTTATTTCACACTAGAACCATGGTAACAACATGCTAATTTTATTTCATTCATTCATTTTCTTTTCGGCTTAGTCCCTTTATTTATCTGGGGTCACCACAGCAGAATGAACCACCAACTTATACAGCTTATCCCTACTGAAAAAAACAGCCTAAACCAGCCTAGGCTGGTTTTAGCTGGTCGAACAGGCTGGTTTTAGAGGGGTTTTGGCCATTTACAGGCTGGTTTCCAGCCATTTCCAGCTTGGTCTTAGCTGGTCAGGCTGGGAGATGACCAGCTAAAACCAGCTTGACCATCCTACCCAGGCTAGGAGCCCAGCCAAAACCAGCTATGTCCAGCTTAAACCAGGCAAACAGCCTAGGCTGGTTTAAGCTGGATTTTTCAGGAGGGATGTTTTACGCGTATGCCTTTCCAGCTGTAGCCCATCACTGAGAAACATCCATACACACTCATTCACACTCATACACTACGGACAATTTAGCTTACCCAATTAACCCGTACCACATGTCCTCGGAGTTGTGGGGGAAACCGCCAACTCAAGACGAACACGTAAACTCCACACAGAAACACCAACTGACCCAGCCGAGGCTCCAACCAGCAATCTTCTTGCTGTGAGGCAAACGTGCTACTTACTGCGCTACCAAGGAGCCCAACATGCTAATTTATGCTAGAAAAAATGATAGCAACATGCTAATTCATACTAGAACCATGCTAATTTATGTTAGTAACTGCCTAACAACAACTCAGAAAACCTTAGCAACCACCTAGCAACGCCCTAGCAACTGCCTAGCAATCACTCTGAACACCCTAGTAACTGCCTAGCAACATCTTAGCAACCACCCAGAAATGCCTTGTCAACCACATAAACACCTGGAACACCCTAGCAACTGCCTAGCAAACACATTAGCACCCACCTAGCAACCACTTAGAACAACTAAACAACTGAGTAGCAACGCCTTGGCAACCTCTTAGCAACCACTCACAACACCCTATCAACTGCCTGGCAAGAAACATGCCATCACTAAATACTAAAAGCATGCTAATATATGTAGTTATAACTGTTTCAAACTTCTTAGACTACGTCAATAATTTAAACTTTAAAACTACTTCAAACTTTCAGATTTGGCTTTCTCAAGCCACCATAAAGTTGTCTACAAACTTCTAATTTGAAACAGCTCATTATTTTAAGTGAAGTTTTAGAGGTATCTATTTTGTGTACTTTGTGTAACTGGTTGAAGTCTGAGCAGGGGCGGATGACAGTGATTTGGGCACCCCAAGCAATTTCAGGTATGGAAAAATTTGAAACTCAAAACATGCTCTTTCTCTTTAGATTTTTTTTTTGTAAATAATAAATAAAATAATAATGAATAAATAAATAAATAAACAAATAAATAAATAAATAAACATATTTCAAGTGAAATCCTTTATGTAAAATTTAATTAAAATTAAAGTAAAGTTTCCTTATTCACCCCTGGTTTAAAAAAAAAAAAAGTATTAACATTAAAATCTCAATTGTAGCCAGATTTACAACATATGATAGATTTGATCAATTTATAAAAAAAAAAAAAGTTATATGATTAATATAGGCTTTTTTTGTATTTTGTCTGGGCCCTAAGCAGCTGCTTGCCTCTCTTATTGGTTAAGTCCGCCCCTGAGTCTGAGATATTGGCTTCTGCTCTTCTGCATACATTACCATGGTGGTATTTTTTCCTTCTTTCAGCAGGATAGGTATAAAACACTAACACATGACTGGCTCACCAGGTTGCTTAGCGACATGGAATTGAGTAGAACAAGAAGAAGGTGTGGGACAAGGGGAGGTAAGTGGCCATGACTTGTTAATGCCCACTAAAAAGACTCTTTCAGACCAAATGCAAAATCATTAGCATCCTCAAAAGCAGCCTCTCCAGCCCGTCCCTCTGTTTTCATTAGCCTCCCTGATCTTTAACTAGACTGTGATAAAGGTCAATTAGAAGGGATGCTATTGTGGATACAAACTGTCTAAGTATTAAAGAAGCGTGTTGTGAGTAAATACTGGTGTATGGCAAGCTGCTTTAACATTTCATCAAAAAACCATACTAGTTTATATTTTTATACTAATATATGTTTTTAGATACTAGCCTATATGTTTCAATATACTATAACTTATTCATTAGCAAATAGTATCTTATTTTAGTGCTTTTTTTTTAAAGATACTACATACAGTGCTCAGCTTAAATAAGTACACCCCTCACAAATCTATCTTTTAAATTCATATTTTTAATAAGAAGCTATACAATGTTATATTTGTGCATATACATTAGATTAGTCCGCACTGAAGCCAAATCTGGAGCTTATCTAACAAAACTTACGATAAATAGTACAGCAAAATGTATATGTTATAGAAAAAATATTAAATACATATAAAAAAACTAAAAGAGAAAAAAATCAAAAGAAGCAAAAACATTGAACAATTTTGTTGAAATTCTGTAGGTTGTGACTTATTTTTGAAAAACTGTATTTAGCTTGAATTTAATTGTATTATCTCTCAATTTCTAAATATGTTCGGTGACTAAAATAGAATTTTAATGAATATATCTGTTTAATAAATGTGTTTTGTTTAATGCACCAAAATACATTGCCTATATTCACGGAGAAATGGAGAAAAATATTCAGTTTCAAAAAAACTATGCCGAGCACTGTATAACTTATTCATTAACTACTAGTACTTTTTTTTATAAAAACATATATGTTAGATGCTAGTATTTATTTACTACACTCATAGACACAGAATTCATTAGATACCAGTACTAATTCATTGGATAATAATAGTAATAGTACTTAATAATCATTAGACACTATTTTTTTAATTATCAGACGTTCTTACGTATTTCATAATTAGTTCTTATTTGATACAAACTTTATTTACTTGTTAGATGCTATTTATAAACTACTATTTATTCATTTGGTACCTATTGAAAATACAAGTGCTTATTTGTTATTTAATACTAGTGATAGATATTCACATTAGGGGTGGCTTATGCTATTGCTGTCTATTGGAGAATTGCCTCAATAGAGCTGCCATTTTAGTACAAGGTAGCACTCTTTTGAAATGAATGTGGGTCCAAGGTGAAGTGGAGGACTGGCCATTCAGAGCCATATATATATATATATATATATATATATATATATATATATATATATATATATATATATATATATATATATATATATATATATATATATATATATGTGTGTGTGTGTGTGTGTGTGTGTGTATAGTATATATATACACACACAAATGTATGCAAATGTTTTTTTTTTTTTTATATGAAAATCATTAATTTACATCACTTTTCCACATTGATGGATAAGTGACCACACGGGCATTGAGAGTGTTTGTGTACATGGAAATGTATTAATCTCCCTCCCTGTTAAATTTGATCTAATCCATGTCCTGAAACACACCTCCTCTCCTGCTTTCACTAGTCATACTAATGGAGGGAGCGATTTGTTTGTGAATGAATCTCCATTATGAATGACTCTTTCACTTATTACTGTTATGTTCTGGCACCGCAGCGTGTTGTTGTCATATTTCATTTACATTGTTCACTGATTTTATTTAACCAAACTAGCATAAGCCTATATTCAGTGCAGATTGGTGTCCTTTCTCCTTATGATCAGTTCAGTTAGAGACTGTATTATTGTTAATAATGTTACTTGTTCAGCACAAAAATTTGCAACATACAAACTTTTATAAATCGAAGTATTGCCCATGAAATGATACGCCTTCATGCTTTGTTTCTTTGTTTGCTCGTTACTACACCCGTACACAGCGTTAAAGTCCAGCATCATCACACTGGCTTTTGTCTTGGCTAGTGTGGTTGAATAACTTTTGTCCTGAGAGCACTGTATAAATGTGGCGGCGCAATTGACGCATGCTCAGGGTCTGTATGCGATATCTAGTTTATATATCTTTGCATTCTAGTACGTACTGCTTAGCAACTTGATATAAATGATATTTATTAGATACTATTAGATACTGGTCGTGCAATACTTAAAAAGTACTACAAAGAGTTTCTTTTAACAGTAAACTACATGTCTGACTACTAATATATGAATTGTTTGGGCTATCGTTTGAGCATCAATATCACAATGTGTGCATCCTAATAGTCACATTGCAAGATATCCAATGTTGAGCTGGGATTATATTTGACCAAAGACCACAGGTCAAAACACATTTTGTGATTTGTGGAGACACTGCGGAATGTAATCTTGATAGATTAAATGTTTATCATCTGCAAAGTGTTTTGTGAGCATTTAAGGACAGTTAAAGCATTAAAGCATTTTAATAGTGCATAAAGACAGTTATTAAAGGTTCATTCGTTTATTTTCCTTCGGCTTAGTCATCAAAGTTCCTGAAAGCAACAAAGATCAAGGTGTTCCAGGATTGGCCAACCCAGACACCAGATGTAAACATTATTAAGCATGTCTGGGGTAATATGAAGGAGGAGGCATTGAATTCAAAGAATCTTGATGAACTCTGGGAGTCCTGCAAAAACGCTTGCTTTGCCGTTCCAGATGAAGATAAAGGAGGCCAAGTCTTTAATTTCCGAAAAACTATAAAGACTATAAAAACTTTAACATTTGCTCCACTGTGTTTATTTGTGACTGTAGGTTGTTTATTACATGTCTATACTAACAATATATTTAGGTGCCCTACAAAGATATCCCAATAAATCTAAACGAATGACTTTCAAAATAGAGCTATTTAAGTCATCTGGTAAAATTGTAGTTAAATATCGCAATACAAATCGCAGAGAAAAAAAAAAATATTGCAATGTCAAATTTTTCCAATATTGTGCAGCCCTAAGTGTTACTATAATTAAAAACTACCCGTGTCTAATAAATATTTATAATAAATAGCTACTGGTATAGATTAAATTGTCACTAGTATCCATGAATAACCATCTAATAAATAAGGACTAGCATTTATTGAATGCTTATTAGTGATTTTAAAAGACGTCAGTCACTATTTGAACAATAACTAATCAGAAATTAATACATAATATCAAAGACAGAAAGCTAATTGGGTGTACCAGTCACAATTGACATATATAGCTACAGTAAAAGCTGAACAGTTGATACCTCATTGACTGATCCCCACAACAAAAATGAGTTACTACAATAGACTAGTGTAATAATACTATAAGAAAAAGGGCTAACACTTTAGGTTAGGGACCAGTTCTCACTAAAAACTAATGTCTTATAACCTGCATATTACCAGAATATTGGCTGTTTATTTAGCAATTAGGAGTTTGAGCTAAAAATCATTTAATGGTTTGTAAATAGTGAGAACTGCATTTTAAAGTAAAGTGTGACCAAAAGCATACTAATATATCAAAGTGCTTTTATGTGATTTTTGTACTGGTATCTATTAAATAAGTAGGCCTAGGCAAATGAATGCACTAGAAGAAATTGAATAAGCACTCTTACCTAATGGAAATGACACTAATATCTGAAAATGCCAGAAGCATGAACATGGATTCTAGGAAGTTTTGTAGATGAAATGTTTAAACGGCTTGCCATAACCGATGAAGCCAGAGAGGAGTTTGATCAGGGTGAATGTGTGTATTTTGTAATGTTGAGTGATTAGAGTTACAGACTGCCCCCGTGTGGCTCTGGATCAAACTACTTGCCTGAAGAGAAGCGGTTTCTGTTTGATACCACTGTCTTGGTCATAAGTCCGCCTAGAATTGTCAAAAAAATATGCATTAAGAAAGTGTAAGAAATCGTCGTATTTAAAACTCAGTATTAATGATCTGTACTTCTCTTTAAAGGAGCTGACCCAAAATTAAAATGATAATTGTAAATGACTTAACCTTGCTACACATCATTTCGATTGAAGAATGTGTTCAGAAGAATGTTGCAAAGGTGAAGGTAAGTAAATGACGACGTGTAATTTTGGGTAAGCCAACCTAGTTCAAACTCGCGTTAACTTTTACATGAAGTAATTCAATAATCAGTTACGCGGCCACAAGATGGAGCACCTTGTCTTTTCAGCATCTCACTCATGTTGCCCTCTCAGTATTGATCTGAGTAGGCAACTAAATTTGGCTATAACGTCTGTTTTTTTTGCTTTCGTGCAGTTTACATGTCTGTTAAGACATTTAGGTGGCATATATTTTGACTCGTGAGCGGTGCTTATCTATTATTACAGTGGAATAAAATGGCTTTTACGTCAGCAGTGCTTTTGAGGGGATTCTCTGTTTGACTCTTCATGGGAAAAAACGAAGTCTTCCTGTTATTGACGTTCGAGCAGATGTTTAACTGTTGTCGAGTGCAAAAGTCTTACCACAGACACTTGAACATGACCTGAGGATTTATTAGGTCCTTCTGATGTTGCAGGGCTTTGTGAGTGTTTGGTGGAGATCACAGTCCAGAAGGAATTCTTTGGCCAACACAAGCAAACGTTTCTTTAACTGAATTTACTTAAAGTTTAGGTTCACTGAATGGCAGCTTTAGGCTGCTTTTTTTTTTTTTTTATAAAAGATGAATTTTTGTAAATGGCTAAGCATTACAGTCTATTTAAAATTCTTCAATATAACCCTACTAAAAAAAAGAAACAGCCTGGTCTTAGCTGGTCAGGCTGGGAGATGACCAGCTAAAACCAGCTTAATCAGCCAAAACTAACTTTGTCCAGCTTAAATCAGGCTGGTTTTAGCTGAACATTTTCCAGCCTGACCAGCTAAGACCATGCTGAAAATGGCTGGAAAACAGCCTGGAAATGGCCAAATAAACCCATAAATCAGGCTGGTCGACCAGCTAAAACCAGCCAACCATTGTAGTCTAGTTGTAGCTGTTTTTTCTACAGGGAAAGTAGCCTAATAGGATTTCAAATGCTACAACTAATGTAATGTAAATACTTCTGATGATATGTGTAATCGTTATAAGTAATAAGTAACACATTATATAACAAAATAGTTCTATTTTAGTAAGAAAACAAAAAACCAACATCACATCTTTTCAGGATATAAGTAGCCTGCAAATTAAGTTATTATCCTTCTTCAATAAATAAACTAATCTGTCTATTTGAAGCACAGTATTGTGGGTTTTATAAAAAGGTGGAGCTATGACATGTCATTACAATGAATGTCTTACTCACAGTAATTAACTTGAAATACCTTCTTCTTTATGCCTCATACATTATAAAACTCAGTTCTGTTTTATTGGTCTAAAGCTCCTTTTATATTCGGGCTGTCTGGATGATTATGAGTCATCAGAGCTGTGAATGCATCTTCAGGAGAAAATAGATAACCAAAAAACCCTTCTGTCGCTTCTATTTCTTCTCTTAATCAAAACACTTGACTCAAAGTTAGAGTTGAGCATTTGCAGACTGTCTTACTTTAATACTTAGCCTCGTAGCGGAGTACAATTTGTATCGATAATCGATAATATAAATACAAAAATGTGAGTACAAAGCTGTGGCCGTGTGATGAATTATACTTGCGAACATATTAAAGTACACTACCTGACAAAAGTCTTGTTGTGGATCCCACTTGTAAGAGCAACAAATATTAACTTGACTTCTAGTTAATCATTTGGAAAATTGGCGGAAGGTAGGTTTTCTAGATGAATCATCTGTTGAACTGCATCCCAATCATCACAAACACTGCAGAAGACCTACTGGAACTAGCATGGACCCAAGATTCTAACATAAATCAGTCAAGTTCATTGAAGGAAAAATCATGGTTTGGGGTTACATTCACTATGGGGGCAAGCAGAGTGGATGGCAACATCCACAACCTTATAATCCATTACATTATAAACCACAGGAGAGGGCAAATTCTTTAGCAGGACAGCGCTCCTTCTAATACTTCAGTTCCAGAAAACAAAGAAGTTCAAGGTGCTCCAGGATTGGCCAGCCCAGTCACCAGAAATGAACATTATTATGTCTGGGACAAGATGGAGGAGGAGGCATTTTATTATTTGTTGTTCCTAAAACTTGGATAGACAACAAGACTTTTGTCAGCTAATAATCTGATACATATATAAAAGGAAGCTCCAGGAGTAGAAAAGCGCGCAACAATTTGGCAGCATGGTCAAATTACGACAGCAATATGATTTCTGTCTATGAAGAGTTTCCCTTCTTTTGGAGCGTGAAAAAACTCCAAGAGACACAATGCAGAATTAGGACACTTCCTCTGGTGGAGGATGAGAGAGGGAGCAGTGAAGGGAAACAGAGGCTGGTTTTGTCTGAGCTCAGTATACCGGCATCCAAACAACACAAAGCCTGCCTAACCAGCCATTCACTTTAACTAGGCCTCTGTGCATAGCTAATGCACTGAGAACAGCCTCCATCCAACAGCACAATACAGAGTTTGGGGGAAGCTGCTGAGGGGAATGAGAAGGAGTTATTGAAGCTGAGCGCTGTGATCAGCTGTGCCGTTCATGCTTTATGTCTATTATGTGGGCCGAGTTCCTAATCGGTGTATTCTTCATTCAATAACAGGAAGAGTAAATGATAAACTATCTTATCTGAAAATTATTTGGGATTGTGTTTTCCCCTTGAAGTCTAAAGGATGTGATGCTGTTTTCAGTTATAAAATACTAAACGCATTATTCAAAAATTGGACATCTGTACCAAAACAACCAAAAAAGTACTTAAAAAAAAAAAATTGGCTTTGCGTGCGGCATGACATCATTTTGTTGCAGAGACGCTATTGGTTAAATACCTGCAAAGTAAAACACAGAAGCAGCTTAAAGCGAAAGCGCGAGTATGTCTGCAGTCGGGAGTATTACAAAGTTGATGACGACAACATCAAGGGCAAAACACCCTGATCAGGACATCCCTAATATGCATACCTTGGATTTTCCTGATTTATATGGGATTTTTTTTCACTGAATTGGATTACTTTTTTGAGGTGTGATTTCTTGTAACGACATAAAATATTTATTCAGGTTTCAAATTGTCAATTTTCATTGACAATTTGACAATCACACAAGCACTCAAGCACCACCGCATGGCCATGACATTGCATTAGTGAAGTTTCTTGCTGTAAGATAAAATAATTCACTTCACATGTTCAATCATATTTATATGATTCATATTTTTAGACCTGAAAAGGAAAACTATTAGAGTTTCAAATAGAGATTTGAGCAAAACCTTTACAATTATTTCTAAATGTTGATTAAAGAACAGCGAAATAAAAAAAGTGTTTCCATTAATGATCTGATGATACACGGCTAAACCAATACAGTAAGCACAATTTAAAGAGTAATAAAATGCAGCCACTTTAAAGGGATAGTTCACACAAAATTATGTTATTGATTAGTCATCCTCGTGTCTTTGAGGCCGTCCTTTAATTCAGAACACAAATTTAAGATGAAATTTGCTCCTTTATCCTCCATAGACAGCAATGGTCCTGAGACGTTCAAAGTCAAGAAAAGGATCCAAAAACATTGTCTGAACATTACATGGGACTTTAGTGGTTCAACTGTAATCATACAAAGCTCAAAGAACAATTTTGTGAACAAAAAAAACAGCAACTTCTTGTTTATCTATGCCTTTTCTTACTTGTCACATTGTCAGGGTGCAAATTTACCTATTGCCATTAGAGCATCATATTGCTCTCAGTAAACACGCACCCCGATGTGTGGCAGAAGACATATATGAGGTCATTTTTATTTTATTTTTTTAGATGCACAAAATGTTCTTTGAGCTTCTTATGATTACAGTTGAACCACTGAAATCACATGAAATGGTTTGGCAATGTTTTTGATTCCTTTTCTGGACTTTAAACATTGGGACAATTGCTGTCAATGGAGGATGAGGGAGCTCTCTGATTTCATATAAAATATGTTAATTTGTGTTCTGAAGATGAACAAAGGTCTCAGTGGATTGGAATGACATGAGGGTGGGTAATTAATTAAAGAATTATCATTTTTTGGTGAACTAACACTTTAAGCTAACACCATGTATAGCATGGCAAATCCACTGCACACTTGAGCTGCATTTAAAATTCTGCATAAGCAAAAAATCAAAGGTGTGTAGTTGGCAGCATGCAGATCATAGGGACTGAACACAGGTATTGGAAAGACATCAGAAAAGGAACACAAACAATGATAGGAAGGGAGAGAGATCTCCCCTGTAACATTTATTTAACTCTATTTACATGTCTGGAGAAACATCAGTTGGAGCAAAGATAACGGTCGTCTAAAAAAAGACTGCTACAGAAAACTGATCATGATTTCAGTGTCAGAATGAACAGAATGGAGGGCAATTCAACAACGCTGGCAGCTCAACTCAACTGTAACAGAAGCTATGTACACATGTAGTATTTTGCCATTGAGGAAGATACACTGAAGTTTCATCAGGGATAAGTTAATCCTTTCATAGGATTATATTACTCGAACACATATGTGAAATGTAGCTCCAAAACAATTGGAAGTGATGTCATGGCGATAAACAGGAAATGATCTGAGAGGCTAAACATTGTTGAATTGCATTTTCGTAAGATTACGATCGGATAAAGAAAACAAAAGTGATCTTTGAGGTCTCGGTTTAAGATACAGAAATGTGAGGTCATGAGGAGTTACCGAAGACTCTTTGTCAGTATTTAGGTTTGATGGACAGGTTGATGGAAGGCACACTACTGGTCACCAAAGAGAGGTAAGACGAGGCCTCTGTCGTACTAAAACGGATTGTGCTTGTGTGTATGTTTTAATCCATGTGTGTATCCACGTCATTTGAGCAGATTAATATATTCATGCGTAAATGGCTGTGCTTGTCACCTCAAACACTCCATGTCTGGTATGTAGTTTATATTTAGTGTCTAAGAAGATTTATCACATGTTTAGTTCAGTCAGTTGTGGCTCCTGTTAAGGCCGTCATGTGATCAGCCAGAGGGTAGAGATATGCAGAAAACCAGTAAGTTCTCTTCAGTTCGTTACTGACCTCAAATCAGTCAAACTGCTACAATAATTCTATTGTTTCTCTCAGAGGATAAAAGCGATGGAAGTTAATGATTGTCAAGATTCTGTGTGGCTAGTTTTAAAATACTTTCAGGGAAAAAAATAACCCATCATATGCATTGTAGGTACAGAAGTCTCTTTTTCGATTCTTCGTTAAAGTGCTTAAAGGGTGTCAAATGTACATGAGAAGGAGCTGCTTTTGCCAGAGTTTGGCAGAGGGCTTACAACGAGGACCACAGCAATTCCACAGCACTCAGAAATCACACATCTTCAGGAGGGACCAGAGAGAGATGAGGATATCACATGCAAGCGTAGTTGCTTCACACAGGAGAGGTACCTGATCGAGCCCAGCTGTCCTGGCAAGTGTCCTCCTTCAGGAGGTGTGATCGCTCTGGGGAAGGAGGGAGAGGAATGGGGGACTGGTGAAGGAGAGAGCTGTTAGGGCTTGTGATGTCGCCTTCGGCAACAAAAGTCAGGTCCATGCCGCTCTCCTCTTCCTCCAGTGCCTGGACCCCTCCGTCACTCCTCCAGTCTGTGATCCCGGACGAGCCCCCCATTTGCGAATGTGGGATTGGGGAGAGCGAGGAACTGAACGGTGGCGGAATTCGGCTGGATGTGTTTCTGAGGGCACTGTTGGGTGGCATTAGTGCTCGTCTGGGTGCTTTGCCCTCCCCCGCTGAATCTAAGCTCTGCGTTTGGTGACTGGCACTGAGGGCAGAGCCATTCTCCTTGGATCGTGGTCGAGTCTTGTGGGAGATGGGTGTGGAGCTGAGGTTGTTGCCGTCTGCTTCCGTGTCGAGGCGCAGGAAGTCGGGCAGGACAAGGTCTGATTTGTTCAGCAAACCCCGCTGGTCGTCAGCTCTGTTGCTCTGTGCTTTGGATATGAGCTCGAAGAATTCTGCTCGAACAACACACACAAGTTTAGACCTTTTCATGTGCTGAAACGAGACACATCTGACAGTTTACAGTGGGCATGAGATAGAAAGCATTCTTGCAAGACATAGGCAACAGTTCAAAGTCTGCTTGTGTTAGCTTTAGCTACATCAGCCAGTGTTGCTACAGAAACTCGGTAAGAATTAGTGTGAGCGCTTTTCTTAAAAGAAAGACAGATTATTCAAGAAAGGGGTATAGTTTTTGTTTTACCTTCAGCTTCATCTATATTAAGCTTTTTCTGTTTTCGCTTTTCCACCTGGGCCCTGGTTTTCACAGCCGAAGCCTTTCCTGCCGTTTTGTCCTCCCCCTGGGTAGCGACAATGAGAATGGGGCACATTAAGGGTGCGTGGATGAGAGCCGCCTCCTGTACAAGGCTTTCTTTTGGGAGCCAGGCTAAAACTACAGGGGCCTCATAGGGGCACGGAGTGGGCCTCTAGTCGCTATCTCTAAAACTAGTTTACATACTCTACTTGTGCAGGCACACTAAAGTCAATCTCCATAGAGCACAGCATCTCACCGCAAAAGAACCACCACCAGCACAACATGCCACCACAACATCGGCAAACATCCACGCTTCAGTCTCTCACGTCTTTCCACCATTTCTCTCAACATATCACACAGCTACCAGTAAGGCCAGATAAACTATAGAAGGGAGGTATTCTTGAACCAAGAAGCTCTTGGTGGACAGAAGCTACTATCCCCTCACAACGGTGTGGTGTGTTGAAGGAAAGGGAAGTGGGTTGCTGTGATTCAAGAAATAGGGTTAGATCATTTAAAGGCCCAGAAATGCAGACACACACAGCCTTCAGATTGGAGGAAAGAACAGGGGAGACAGCCATGCACAGACTCCCCACACGCACGCCAAAAACATACAGAAAGAGAGGAGGAGCAGATGGAAGTGTGCGATCTTGGAGATCGAGCTCTTACTGTGGCAGATTGGCTTCGTGTAGACAGAGGTGGACCGTGACTTTTCGATGAGACCAGCTTTTGTTTATCTGTTTAGAGAGGGAAAGTGTTAACTCACTGCGTTTAAGTTTAATAGCAGGTTGGCGACATTGAAAACAACATGCTAATGTATTCACAACCCGTTTTACTTTCAGAATATGGTTTTCAGTTGCAGCTAACATACACTAAAACATTACATCCAAGCCAAGCTAAACTCAACTGTTTTATTAACAAAAATGTACTTCTATTTCCAAAGGTTCCTAAAAGATTAAAAAATGAATCACTTAATTAATGTATTATTTGGAAAAGTAATTCTTTGGCTCGCATGTTACTGGTTCACACAAGGCATAATCAAACAATCAGATTAGATGTTGTGAATGATGTCTGTACTGTGTGTATGTGAACCTCTTGCCTTTCCCAGAAACGTGGTCACCTGCTTCAAGAACCACCCTCAGGCCATCTAGATTAGATATAGGAAGCCCAAGATCCAGCGGCTCTTTCTCTCCACTCTGCCCAAACAAAACATATGTCATTAATATTCATTAGCTAAAATCGCAAAACTCATATTTCACGTTACAGTATTACAGTCAAGTTTCCTCCATCATCACTAACTTACTCCTCTAATGGCTCGTTTCCACTCAGTGGTACAGTCCGGTATGGTTCGGTAGACTTTAATGATATTAAAAGTATATATGATATATGATATTATTTTTTTGGTTACCCTTTGCATAGGGTACCTAGCACAACAAAAGTGTACCAAAAGGCAGAACTAGACGCGCAGCTGAACATTGGTTTACAGAGATAAGTAACTAGCGCATACACAAGCAGAGAATGAAAACAAAGAAACTGGCATTTTTAAAAAACAGCCGAGACATCACATTGTAATACTGTATACAGTTGAAGTCAGAATTATTAGCTTAAAAAGAACATTTTAATGACAAAATTATTAGCCCCTTTAAGCTGATTTTTTATCATTATTCTACAGAACAAACCATCGCTATACAATAACTTGCTTAATTACCCTTACCTGCCTAGTTAACCTAATTAGCTTAGTTAAGCCTTTAAATGTCACTTTAAGATGTAAAGAAGTGTCTTGAAAAATATCTAGTCAAATATTATTTACGATCATCATGGCAAAGATAAAATAAATCCGTTATTAGAAATGAGTTGTTAAAACTATTATGTTTAGAAACGTGTTGAAGAAACTTCTCTCCCCTAAACAAAAATCGAGGAAAAAAATAAACAGGCGGGTTAATAATTCTGACTTCAATTGTTCATATATTAACATCACATGGTCGACCTGAGCTTAAACAAACCTTGTCGTTGTCTTGATGTACAGCCACAAAGCCAAGAATAACAAAATCAGCCGTGCCCTGTTTTTGTTTTACGTGGCCGTCTAAAAGTGCACTCTAAAAAATGCAGGGTTCCACACAATTCGTTCATGCTGTCCCAAAACAAATTGATTAAGTTAACTTAACACTTTTAACAAATTTATTTGGATCAAACATAAAATGAACAAATTAAAAAAAAGTTTTTGAGTGTGAGATCTGTTTCACTTTCTCCAGAGAAATCGCGATTGCTTGTGTTGTCTCTATATTTAAAATAACAAACTTCTTGAGCTGATGATAATAACGTGCACATGATTATTGAAGTGCTTCTGACATCCGATCTTTTCAGAAATGGACAAATGCAAGAGTGAAGCGCGAAAAAATAAAGGCGAAGCTGGAAAAAAAGAAGCAAATGATTCTTTCAGCAACCTAAACCATGAACAAACGGCCATGTTTAACTATTATCATCACGTTTTGGACTATTATAAACTCAGAATAACGAAATTACTTCCTAACAAGAGGTTACATGTGATGGTGAAGATTAAAGACACAGATGAGAGGTTTGCTCTGACTGGGCTATATGTTGGGCTATATGGGTTGTTTCTAAGCCCAAATAAAGACTAAATGCATGCTGTGTGTAGTTTATCTGTAATTGGGGCTGTATGTGTTCATATATGTTGCATTTACTAATTTATTTACAGTAGGCTATTTCGCACTGTCATAAATCTGCAGTTATATACCCTTGGTTCCCTTTAGTCAGTGGAAACGCAAGCCTGATGATGGAGACCCGTAGTTCTGTACAGTACCGTACTGTACCAGTCAGTGGAAACAGGTCATAAAACCAGCTAAACAGGCAAAATGATGGATATATATTCCATGCAATTTGTAACCTGATCCCACAACATGCTTCTTTACATAAAACACCCAGTCAATATGTATTTGAAGAGAACTTTGTACACTATGATGAATCAGTTCAGCTCTGAATGTATTATTAAATGTTGCAGGATCTTATAATAATGATTCTAAAGTACATGTTCAAAGAAGGATGAATCTATTAAAATGTATTTTTCGGCACGTAAAACACTCTTTTATTTATGAAATGCAAATGTTTGACTCACTATCGTGGCCACCAGGTCTCCTAAGTTTAAACCATATTTAGCCACCACTGGTCTCAGCACTTCTGTAACCGGCTTAGTGGGTTTTGCTTTCAGTCCAACAGAACGATTTATAGGCACCAGATCCAGTCTATAAGGGAGAGAGATGAAAGTTAAACACAGCTAAATCTTGATGAATGTTTGATAAAACATGACTTCAGTAAAGTTTGTGATGTTTAAAAAAAACTTGAATATATCAAAACAGATATAAATGATAAATAAAAGGATGAACGAATCGATAGACAGGGATAAAAACAGATAAACAGGTGTGTACCGGAATAGCGTACGTTTCTCCAGCCGCAGATCCCTGGAGCACAGTGTCATGCAGTCCTGGTCCAACACTAAAGGCTTTACACAAGGACAATGCATGCTATTATAGTCTTTTACAGCATTTTAGGATCTTATAATGCTGATAAGCACACATGCACACACAAACCAAAATGCACGCACACACAAACTGAAGAACACACCAAGACCAAATATAATGCTATATATAAATATAATGTAAAATATAAAAATGCACAACTGATTGTTCTAATATATTTATATACAATTAGCAGCCTGCAATGGTAAGCAGAACTGCACTTAATGTTACCTTTTCTCCTCCTACTAGGAACAGGTCCACAGCAGCCAGATTAATGCCTAGTTTCTCACACAAGCCTAAGAGCACCTCTCTGATGGAGACGCCGGGCCTGATGGGTACTGAGCAGCATGAGCCATCCGGTAGGTTAATGTTACAGTGACGCACGGCACGCTCAGACAACGACATGGAGTTACGCGACACCTCACCCTGCGGACAGTGGGAATGAACAACACAAACAAATAAAATAACAAAACAACAATAAAAATATAATGAAATAATAATCGGAATCGGACACTTTATTGTTAAACTGCCCATCTTAAAGTACCAATATGAAGTAGCCAAGCATTTCTGTTGAACTTATGAATGCAATGGCCAATTAGATCTTCAGTCAGATCTAAAACCAAGTAATAGACAGTAGATATGATTGATTTCAACAACACAAAGCATCTCTGAACACACAACGCATCCAACCTTGAGGCAGATGGGCTACAGCAGCAGAAGACCACATCGAGTGCCACTCCTGTCAGCTAAGAACAGGAAACTGAGGCTACAATTTGCACAGGCTCACCAAAATTGGACAATAGAAGATTGGTAAACCGTTGGTCTGATGAGTCTAGATTTCTGCTGTGACATTCAGGTAGAGTCAGAGTTTTTCATCAACAACATTAAAGCATGGATCTATCCTGCGTTTTATTAATGGTTCAGGCTGGTGGTGGTGGTGTAATGGTGTGGGGAATATGTTCTCGGCATACTTTGGCCCATTAGTACCAATTGAGCATCATGTCAACGCCACAGCCTACCTAGGTATTGCTGCTGACCATGTCTATCCCTTGATGACCACACCATCTTCTAATGGCTACTTCTAGCAGGATAACATGCCATGTCATAAATAGTGAATCATCTCAAACTGGTTTCTTGAACATGACAATGACATCTCAATCCAATAGAGCACCTTTGGAATGTGGTGGAATGAGAGATTTGCATCATGGAGGTGCAGCCGACAAATCTGCGGCAACTGCGTGATGCCATCATGTCAATATGACCAAAATATTTGAGGAATATTTCCAGAACCTTGTTGAATCTATGCCACGAAGGATTAAGGCAGTTCTGAAGGCCAAAGGGGTTCAACCCAGTACTCGTAAGATGTACCTAATAAAGTGGCTGGGTAATGCATTTAAAAAAGTCACAAAAATGAAACTAAGATTTTGGGCAACTGGTTCTTTCTTTTTAGGAGACGTTTGTCGGATACGTTTTAATCTTTTTTGGAAACATTTCATATTTGAAGCACAACAGCTACAATATAAACTTCACGGCATCTAACATTCACAAGTAAAATCCTAACACACTGGTTAACATTTTTTATGTTTTAAGTCATCATTTTAAACTGTTTATTGTACAATATATAGTTCTATTTATTTTAAGTATATAGTTCTATTCATTTTAAGTGTGAAACAATCCTAATAATACTACACAACATACTCAACATCTGCTCGTGTTAGACTTTTGACCCACCTCATTTTTTCCAGAACCGGAAGTGGCAAGTTCCAAACTCGCACCAGACGACAAAGAGCCTTGTGATTCTCTCCTTCCGTTACTACCTGTAAAGCCTATGTTGAAAGACAAGTAGCAATTATAACCAACAAAAAGGAAAATGCAGGGAAACTGGACACGAGTCCCAGCTCATTTTCTGCATACCACATATCACAATAAAGGCAAAAACGCCAAGAATAAATCTTTAAAAGGAAACTAAACTGCAGATCTACTCACTGTAATCTGCGAGGTCTCTTTTTTTCGACCCTTTTCCAAAACTTCTATTTCTGGACCAAGAGAAGAAAATACTTTTTTTTTTATCGCCATGTTCATCTCTGCTGTCTTCATTCAGTGACCTTCCCGATTTGCTCTTCTTGTCGTCCTGCACCTTAAATAAATAAATAAATAAAGTTCAATTATTACCATAGTCGAAAACAAAGACAAGAACACAAGATTCAGATAATACAGAAATCTCTCTTTCTAATGTGCAATGAATGAACCATTGATATGCAGCTCTGAGAGTTGAAATGGGTCAATAAATGGTCAGGAATTTACTGCGTCAAATGAGATCTGACTGGAAGGCATTGTGGGATGTTACCTGAAATGACTGTCTCATTTCTTCAAAAGCTTCTATGATAACTAGACTAGACACTCATTTTAAACAAGAACAGAATGGCTTTAATCTCCCACCTCAAGATGTAGATAATTACAATTCAATATCTTTAATTGTCAAGCCATTACAACTTGCACTGATCCCAAATAAAGGAGGTAAAGTGAGAAATTTCAGCCGAACTATTTGAAACATTGGTTAAATCTTCCTTCCTGAAGTGTTAAAAAGTTCATAAATCCATGAATTATAGATAATAGATAATTAGGTATGGATATATAAAGCAGTGAGAGATAATTGTGTGTGTCTATCTTCTTTTGATGTGCTTCATAGATTGTTTGTGTTTGTAATTATGCTTCAAGGGAAGTCAGTGAGTCAACTGCAAACAAACCGTCATCATTCTAATGAAGGGCACAGGACAAAAAGTAAACAGCAACGTGGGTGTGTGTGTGTGTGTGTGTGTTACCTTTTTAGGTGTAGAGAGGTTGGAGCGGTCGGAACCTGTGCTATGTTTGGATGTGGGGCTACTGGGCACCTGGTAGGGGTCTGGAAGTGGACGGCCCTCCACCTCTGCAAGCATACATTCCTGATACAGGTAAGACTTTAGGAAGCGTGTGTAACTGTCAAACTTCATCAGGTTGAAGATCTGTTGATGAAAAAATAAACAATGTTACTGTGAAACCAGGACCAGCACAGATTTCCACAGTGGTCCAGCATAATCTCATTTTTTATGCTTGTTCTGCTTGAATAGAGTTTCTGGTTTTGCTGGTTTGAGTAAACTGGTGAGGGCATAGGCTTTTCATGCTGGAACCAGCATCCATACATAAAAAAAGATACTGATGACAAGCAATATGGGTCAGCTAACACATTCCATTCCATTAAAAATATGCATGTATATACATACAGTACAACAGTTTTTAGTTGAACCAAATTAACTTTTCTCAAAGTCCATTTAAAGCCATTCATTTTACTCTGCGTGAAACACGTCTCAGGCAGTATGCTCGGGCATTCTGTCTGAATGGGGAAACATCAAATTCTCCAAAACTGCTTGCCAAGATTACGATTGAATTTCATATTAGGAATCACCAATAAAATTAAACTCTAACTTCTAAACGTCCAAATCACAGAAAATCTGCAGAAAATCATGACTGGTCTGAGCCCCTCCCCTAGAGTATCGTCAGTCAAAAGCGATTGATGATTGGATGACAGGAGTACTAGAAGGCTGGATTTATTCGCCATATAGCAATCAATGATTGGCTACTGTACTAGTAGGCGGATCTTCATTCACCATGTTGACCGTTACACTTTATCCTATTCAAAAAGATACGAGTGACATGTCTTGTGTAGTCTATAGCAGTGGTTCTCAAACTTTTTTCATCAAGTACCACCTCAGAAATAAATTGTCTCTCCAAGTACCACCAAAATGAGCAGTATTGAAATACAGTCGCGTAGTAGGCCCAGTAAAGCAGCTACAACTCTGCACAGTTAAAAAAAACGTGGCAGATTATCTCATAAATATAGGCTATATGTCATATATGTCGTATTATATACATCATTTTTGTTAAATTTTGAAATGTGTGTAGCATGTGCATGACATATTTCATTCCTCCGTGTACCACTAGAAGGAAGCCTGCGTACCACTAGTGGTACACGTACCACAGTTTGAGAACCACTGGTCTATAGCCTTGGTTTTCTACTACACTGGATAATCTAGATAATATATTAGATAAACAAATACTAGATAATCAAACGGACAACAATTTAAATAAATGACTGAAACCTGATTAACTTTTTTAAAATAAGTTAAAGCAACACTGTGGTAATGACTTTTTGTTATTTAATATTAACTTACAATGTATTGAAATTCCTCAGTTCCTCTGAAATTACGATTTAAATTGTATGCGTTTGAATAAGCCTAAATGTAGTTTTATGACTAATGCCATTTCTCCCTGGGATAAAAGTTAAAGCTGTTACTAAGAGTATCTTTTGCCATACATTTACAGTTGAAGTCAGAATTATTAGCCCCCCCCCCCCCCCCCCCCCCCCCCTTTGTATTTTATTTTCTTTTTAAAATATTTCCTAAGTGATGTTTAACAGAGCAAAGAAATTTTCATAGTATGTCTGATAACATTTGTTCTTCTGGATCCGTTACCAAGATCTGTTCCGGGACCTCGTAAAAAAGTCAAAAGCAGGTGCTTAATTGCTTAATTAATTAAGGCCTGTTTTTTTTCATTACAGAAATAAATTAATTAATAACAATTAATCATAATAATATAATAATTTATTGGTTTATTCATTTTCCTTCGGCTTAGTCCCTAATTTATCAGGGATCGCCACAGCGGAATTAACCACCAACTATTCCAGCATATGTTTTGTGCAGCAGATGGTCTTCCAGCCACAACCCAGTACTGGGAAACATGATCATATAATACAATAATTATTATAGGCGGCATGGTGGCTCAGTGTTTAGCACTGTCACCTAACAGCAAGAAGGTCGCTGGTTCAAGCCCTGACTGGGTCAGTTGGCGTTTCTGTGTGGTTGCATGTTCTCCCCGTGTTCATGTGGGCTTCCTCCTCATGCTAAGGTTTCCCCCACAATCCAAAGACATGTGCTATAGGAGTATTGGATAGACTAAACTGCCCATAGTGTATGTGTGAATAAGTGTGTATGAGTGTTTTTCAGTACTGGGTTGAAGCTGTATGTAAAACATAGGTTGGATAAGTTGGTGGTTCATTCCGCTGTGGCGAGCCCTCATAAATAAAGGGACTAAGCTGAAGGAAAATGAAATAATTATTATAATAATTAATTATCTTAAAGAATATTCTTACAAAATCCTACCAAAAACTTTTTTGCAGGACCATATTTAATTATTTTTATTAAATCGTGAAGTCTAAAAAGGGAAGAAAGTGATGCAGTAAAACATGAGCGAGTATCATGTTTCTGTGAGTTTGTGATTTATCCCAGATAAAGAGGTGACAGCCAGACAGGAGCCTCTAAATGCTACGTGATCCTCGGACTAAAAAGACACTTTATAAGAGCGTGTTCTCTGTCGCCTCATGCACAAAGCTCGCCTGCAGGTTTCCTCACAGATATCATGAGGTTGGACTTTACAGGATGCTACATTCATGATCTTACGACGTCAAAGAGCTAAAATCAAATCACTTCATTATTTGCATCTTGCCTGCAGCTCTCCAAGACAACGTCATTATTGTAATGCCCCAGACACATCCAGTAATTTTAAAAATAACACTGGGCTTATTTTAAATTTTGACAAAAAAATAAAAAATAAAAAATCAATGAAATCATCTAATTACTCTTCGATATATTACGTGGTTGCTAAATGCTTAATTCCAATTGGCTGAATAAAACTTTAACTTAAGGGTGTGCGATTATTTTCAAATAAATGCATATATTGTAAAACACACACACACAGACAAAAATCAGGCTTCCCACTCAACTAAAAAGCTGAATTTCCATGACCCATAAAGAATAAAAGGGAGTTGTTGTGTTGAGAATCCCTCCAGAATTATACGATTCTGCGATCACAAAATTAAACACAAAAACAAACAAATGGCACAACATTTACAGAAGTTTGCAATAAAAGCAGCAGATTTCCTGCAGAATTTGACCAGCCAGGGCACTGTTCAATTTCTTTACATACCATTTGCATTGTTTTATATAAAACAACATTAAATTTGCATGTAGAAAGTGCTCATACAGTGCGGACCACCTTGAGGTGTCACAGACACTGCATGGTGCTGCACTTCTCTTTAGGTATGTGACCTGCTTTGGATGCGTCTTGTGATATTTTCACAATGCACCTTCAGCCAAAGACTATTTGAACAAGACATTCATTGTATCGATTGCTAAAATTACAATTTAGGAGGTAAAGTTCGCTCATTGTTTCTCTTAGTGTTGATTAATTATAAATTATATAGATGAATGGTTCTTACAGTCAAAAATGTAATGGAAAACAAAAAAAATAACTAAAAACTAAGAGCAAATTTGTGTATATTTTCATTGCAAAAAATAAATAAAAATAAAGGAAATTGAGAAAATATTGAGGAAAAAAACACAAAATCGGCAACTTGAGGCAGAAAACTTTCTTTCAAAATCTAGGATGGACTGGTTCAGCACCGAGCAGACAAGTAATTTAGCGAGGAAAAGCCTGGTGACTGTATTTGATTTCCAGTTTACAAGTAGGAAAAAAATAATTCAGTAAAAAAATAACCATAACAATGGGCAAAACATGTGAAACAATGTGATTAAAAACTATTTTGTAGAAATGAAAAATATAGAATTAAATAGATTGATCCAAAATTACAGAAAAAGTGCTTCGGGGGTAATTAATGTGTTGGTGCTCTTTGGATAAGGAATTCATGAAGATAAACCTTAAGATCAAGTCCAAGGCACTGGAGAGTAAGTGAAAAAACATAAAAAGACTTTATTTACATGGCTATTATCTTAAAAACAGCATTTGTTTAAAAAAAAAAAGTTTTTTTTATAATAGCCATGTTAATAAAAGCTATTTTAATTTATTTTTTTACTTACTTGTCCACGGTTCCTTTTACATAAATTATAAAGACCAATGAATCATGAGGTCAAAAAAGTTAAGAATGATGAAGAGATAGCTAAGAGGAAATTGGTGTATATTTTAGGATGTGTAATATTGAGAAAATATTAGGCTAATATTGAGAAATGTGTAATATTGAGAAATATCAGCTATTAGGCCGCAATAATCAGAACAATGTTCCTGCAAAATCTAGGAGAGACTGGTTGAGCAGACAAGAACAACAACAACACAGTAATTTAACAAAGAAAAGCCAGGTGACTGTGTTTGATTTACAGTTGAAGTGAAAACAATAATTTCAGTAAAAAAAAAAGAACAGACTAACCATAACAATAGGCAAAACGTGAAACAATGTGATTAAAAACTATTTTGCAGAAATCAAACCCTATTTTGCAGGGTAATTAATATTTCAGTGCTTTTTGGATAAGCAAATCATAAAGATAAACTACAAAATCAAGTCCAAGGCACTGGAATTGTTAGTAAAAAAAGCCTTTATTGAACATGGCTATTATTTAAAACATTATATGTTTTTTATAATAGCAATGTTAATAAAAGCTTTTTTGAAATTGTTTTACCTACTTGTCCAGTGCCTCAGACTTGCGATTGTATAGAATAAAATATATTTTTATGAATGGGAGATGTCATTTAAAATGGGAAATATTACCCTTGATCACCCTTGACAAAAATATATAAAATTCCCAGACTTTCAATGTCCGGAATAGACCCTTTAAAACCTCAACACAATATTCCAGAAAGACCATGACCTGTGTTAAAGCAAATCAAATCAAAAGACTTTAGTTGAGATAGAAACAGAGATGTCTCAAATGTCTTGGAAAGTACAGTAACACTTTTCAATAAGATTGTATTAGTAACTGAATTTCCCAACATGCACAGTACAGTTATTGCAGTGTTTGTTCATGTTTAACATGACCTTTAGTGTTAGTTAACAGAAATAAAGTTGTTCATTGTAAGTTCATATTAACTCACAGTGCATAAACTGTTAACAAGCATGAATAAGTATTTTGACACTTAACACTTTATTTTGATGGTCCATTTGAGTATTAGTAGACTGTCTGCTTAATATCTGCTGATACTGCGACTTCAACAGACATTTAACTGACTATAAGAAACTTAGCAAGTACATGTCAACTTACACTAACCCTAACCTAACAGTCTACTTCTAATCTAATTAGAATTAGTTGACATGTAGATGCAATGTCACTTAAATTCAACAAACCATCAAAATAAAGTGTGACCAGTATTTTAATAATGCATTATTAAATGTTGAACTGTGATTAATAAATGCTGTGGAAGTTTGTTCATGCTTAGTTCATGTAAGTGAATACATTAATTACCAATAACTAATGAAACCTTATTGTAAAGTGTGACCAATATCTTTAACCATAGATTATTACTACTATCTTTAATCATAAGTGGAATAACTGACTCTGGTCCATTTCATTATTGGACAATAATACATACCCAAATTAAAAATCATCACTCAGTTATTCCTTATTAAGTGGTCAGGAAAATAAATCAACAGTTTCAAAGTCTTTAGAATGGTCCTGATGCCCACATGCCTGACATAAACACTGGGACGTTTTCAAGCTCTGTTAATAGTCTTCCGGACAGTGTTGTAACCCGAGGGTTTCAGTAAACATCCTGACTGAGCGTTTCCTGTCTTACCTGAAGCTGTTGCTCTTTAAACATGTCTGGCCTCGGTGCGTTGAGGATGTCGTCAGCCAGCTGAGCTTGACTATCAATGTTGACGGGTGTGGTAGCTTTACTAGACAGGAAGCTGTTGTAGATCTCTCTGGCCCGCTGGGACAGCTGAAGGACAAACAGTATAAGGTCACAATCAAACAGCAAATGAAAAACTTTGTTTCATCCTGGCCACACAAAGGATCTATTCATGGACCCTGAATGGACTGCTATGGAGGGAAAAAAAGTTCTAATAAACAGTGAATAAAATTAAAAGTCATAAAAGAAAGTATTTTCAGGTGTACAAATAGCATTTGTAATAATCTGACGATGTCATTAATTAATGCTGACCTATAAACAAATGCCAGAAGCAATTCATTCAATTGTTCACTTTTTATGTGTGTCGTATTTCTTTGGTATTTTCCTTTTTATATTTTTATTTATTTATTTTATTGATTCGTTATCATGTCCTGGATAAGTTGGTGGTTCATTCCACTGTGTCGACACCGGACTAAGCAGACAAGAAAATTAATGAATGAATGGAGTTATATGCACCCTTTACGTTCATTTGTTGTGCAATTGTGTGACGCTTGAGAACTTCGATGTTTGCAGACTGTTAGCTATGTGTCTCTTCTGTTAAAGCCACAAAAAGAGAAATTAGTGTTGGGCATAAAGGTTTGAATATTTGTTTGTTTTTGTTGTTAACTGTTTGTTTTCCTATTTTGTGCAAAGTTGTAAAAAATTATTGTAAATAAAGTATTTAAAAAGAAGCAGTTCATTAATTAATTCATTCATTCATTCATTCATGCTTTGAGCAATGCCATTTTGACCCTTTTTTGTGCAAATTATTTGACAGAAAATGCACTGAAATAAAAGTTTTTAACAATTCAATATATAGTTAAAGGCAAAATTATTAGCCCTTCTGAATTATGAATCCCCCTGTATACTTCATCCCCACTTTCTGTTTAACGGAAAGAACTGTTCAACACATTTCTAAACATAATAGTTTTAATAACTTCTTTCTGAAAAATTGATTTATTTTATCTTCGCCATGATGACAGTAAATAATATTTGACTAGATATTTTTCAAGACACTTCTATTCAGGTTTAAGGTTAATTACGTTAACAAGGTAAGTTAGGATAACTAGGCAAATCATTGTATAATGATGGTTTGTTCTGTAGACAATAAAAAAATTGCTTAAGTGTGCTAATAATATTGTCTTTAAGATAAATTTAAAAAATAAAAGCTGCTTTTATTCTAGCCGAAATAAAACAAATACGACTTTATCCAGAAGAAAAAATATTATTGGAAATACTGTGAAAAATTCCTTGCTCTGCTCTGCATCATTGGCAAATAAAAAAATAAATCACAGAAGGGCTGATCATTTTGACTTCAACTGTATAATAAAGATATTTGAAGATATTTTTATAAATATGAAGACTTCATACCTGTTTCTTGTCTGTTTCAGGTACATGGCTGAAATATTCACAAGCTTGCCAAAATAAAATATTCTCTTCGCTAAACTCCTTCTTTAGAAACTCCTGTGGAATGAGGAAAAAAAGGATTAAATACTTAATCTGGAAAACATAGACATTAAAATTGTCCTTCACACATTTCATTGAAAAAAACACTTACTGAAACTCACTAGCTAAACCAACTTCTCTTCACATTCTCTGCTTTACAGATAAGCAAAATTCTTTCCAAACACTTCCTGGTGGTTTTGTTTGAAACCTTTAATTCAGCAAGTTCCTCATGCAACCTTGCAGAGTCTTTGCGACTTCTGATTAAAAAAATCTGAACTCTTTAGGATTCCAACTAAAATGCCTTAAGCTTGACTTGGATCCTCAGTCAATATTGATTGTGGATTCTGTTACACCACGGCTACTGTGCAAATAGGTGATGTAGGCTGCTCTGACATACCGAGAAATATCGGACACCGACGGGATCCTGTAGCAGGCGCTCAAAGCAGACGGCCCACGATGCAACGCGCCGTTCAGTGTGCCGTCTATGGCATTGCACGCTAGGTAGGCTGGCATTGCTGTTCAGACTGTTATCACTGCCGCAGCCTTTCAGGTCCACACTGTTAAGCTCTAGGAATAAACAAAAAGACAACAATGCTACTGTTATTCACACCGAATTCAATAACAGAGCAGTTTATATTGAACAACTGCATGTGACAAACTTAAAAAGAGATCAACATTTTCAAATCCGGAGAAAAGTAAATGCCTAAAAGTAAATCCCAAAGTATTTTTATATTATGCAATCATCATAACTGCCTGAATAAAGGTCAGGGTGCCCTAAATTAAGACCATACACTTAAAATAGGCCATCTTTTGAAAATGAACAACAGCTAGATGGAACTATGCTCCAATTCAAGATTCTTGAAGACGCATGTCTCTTAAAATAAGCTAAATAATCTGCCAACGGGGTAAGCAAAATATTCTTGTCAAAGCAAAAAATATTACTTTGCTTACCCCATTGCACACCTGACAACCCTTCTGTTTTTGCCAGGATTCTCATGTATCTTACTATCATCGCATTTAAGTATTTTCCCGTATTTCTCCCATATTTTTAATCCTTCTATGAAAAGTGAAAGTAGCATCAAAGAGTTGATATCAAACGTGATAAACAGTTGAGGTCAGAATTATTAGCCCCCCTTTGATTCTTTAGATTTTTTAAATATGTCCCCAATTATGTTGAACAGAGCAAGGAAATTTTCACAGTATGTCTTATAATATTTTTTCTTCTGGAGAAAGTCTTATTTGTTTTATTTTAGCTAGAATAAAAACAGTTTAAAATTTGTATAAACTCTTTTAAGGTCAATATTATTAGCCCCTTTAAGCAATTTCTTTCGATACTCTACAGAACAGACCATTGTTATACAATAACTTGCCTAATTACCCTAACCTGCCTAGTTAACCTAATTAAACCAGTTAAGTCTTCAAATGTCAGTTAAGCTGTATAGAAATGTCTTGAAAAAATTTTTAGTCAAATATTATTTACTGTCATCATGGCAAAGATCAAATAAATCAGTAATGAGAGATGAGTTATTAAAACTAGTGTTTAGAAATATGTTCCAATCTTCTCTGCGTTAAACAGAAATTGAAGAAAAAAAAACAACCAAACAGGCTAATAATTCTGACTTCAACTGTCATTTCAAGAGCAGTTCAAGAGAATTATGCTTTCGCTTTGTTTTGGCTTGAAAGCACATTGAAATAAATATATAAAAACGCCCGCCTTTACTTCATTCCTATTAAAGCTATGCATCGACCATCTCCCTTCCTATGCAATCTCTTAATCAGTCAAGAATCAGTGCTGACTGAAGGACGTGCCCCGTAGTAATAAAGACACTGTTCCCAGGTCAGCTTCTGTACACGCGATTTAAAGAGGAGCTAAAGTGGAAACTTTGGGATTAGGGGGTGTTTTTAAAGAGACAGATACACTTAAATTGGCTATGCAAAAATGTCTGTCCGGGAGGGTTTTATTTTAAACAGAAATAATTTTGTTTTAAATGAGCATAAACAGTTACGAAAGCTTTATTACAGATCTGTGGATTGGACCTCTGTTGTTAACCAAAACAGTGTATCAAAATTAGAGATTCACTGCTCCTCAGTATTTCCCAGAGATGGGTTGCGGCTGGAAGGACATCCCCTGTGTAAAAACGTGCTGGATAAGTTGGCGGTTCATTCCGCTGTGGCACCCCGGATTAATAAAGGGACTAAGCCGAAAAGAAAATGAATGAATGCCTCAGTAAATAATGTAACTTTAATCAATATTTAAATACAATGAATAGCAAATGAACACGTTTTTAACTTGCATAATTAATTTAATTATTCCTATATAGGCTATTGATTTTAATCATCTAATTTTAATTTTTGGTAATGCAGTGGTGCAGTAGGTAGTGCTGTCGCCTCACAGCAAGAAGGTCGGTGGGTTGCTGGTTCGAGCCTCGGCTGGGTCAGTTGACGTTTCTGTGTGGAGTTTGCATGTTCTCCCTGCGTTCGCGTGGGTTTCCTCCGGGTGCTCCGGTTTCCCCCACAGCCCAAAGACATGCGGTACAGGTGAATTGGGTAGGGTAAATTGTCCATAGTGTGTGTGTGTATGGGTGTGTGTGTGGATGTTTCCCAGAGAAGGGTTGCGGCTGGAAGGGCATTCGCTAGGGATGTAACGGTATTGTAAATACCGTCATACCGCAATATAAATTTTTTCGATATTACCGAAGTCGCATGACTCGGTAAAACTATAGGTCTTCTGAGAAAATTTGCTCAGGCGAATGAAGCGAACGGGAGGTAGCGAAAACTACAATTCCCATCAGCCCATGCTTGACCAACATCCCTTGCGGTCTGTTGTCGCTACAGATCCAGTAATGCGGAAATGGAGTGTGCTGCTAGAAGCGGGGATGAAAAAGAGCTGAAAAACTCTAAAGTGGATGTTGTCGCCGCGCGCGTACTGAATAGCGGTGTTGTCGCGAGAGTTCTTATCAGCTGTGTTGTCGCGCGCGTACTGAATATCGGTGTTGTCGCGCGAGTTCTTATCAGCTGTGTTGTCGCGCGAGTTCTTATCAGCTGTGTTGTCGCGCGCGTACTGAATAGCGGTGTTGTCAGCACACTGTTCAGATTGATGCAGACATGAGACCTCTATCTTACTCATGGTTTGTCCTCTCAAGTGGGGGAAAGACAATGCACAACGTTACCCACTGCTGTCAACCTGGGCCAAGTCATATCTCTCTTGTCCCAGAAACCTCAGTCCCAAATGAGAGGGGTTTTTTTCTGTTGCAGGGGACATTGTAAATGCCCAGAGATACCAGCTTATACCAGATTATATTTATATGATCATTTTCCTTTAAACCCATCTCTATCTAAGTGAGTGAGTGATTAAATGTTGAATGTGATGAGTTTTCAACAATACTAAATTGAAACTTTATTTTTTTACATGGTTTAATATTTTTTTGTTATTAAAATTGAAGTTCCTGTTTCAAAGCTTACAGATAGATGGCTAATTTGTATGTCATTGACACTTTTGGCACTTTTTTGGAGTATTTTCATGAGTTTTGTTTTTCCTGTAAATGATTCAATAAATACCGTACTGTGACATTCATACTGAGGTATTACCGAACCGTGAAATTCTGATACCGTTACATCCCTAGCATCCGCTGCATAAAAACGTGCTGGATAAGTTGGCGGTTCATTCCGCTGTGGCAACCCCGGATTAAGAGACTAAGCCGACAAGAAAATGAATAAATGAATAAATCATTTTTATTTATTTTTTTATCTTTTATTTTATTTACAATTAAAGCATATCCCGTATTTTTACATCTTAATGTTGACAGGTTTGCCCTATTGGCAGATTATTTTGCTTACTTTAAAGAAAAACTCACTTCATTTTGACTTAATATTTCTTAAAACTAGACCATATTTTTTGCTTGTCCAGAAAATGCTTCTTGATTTAAGTCTTTTTAAATATTTGGACTAGAAACAAGACTAAACTCTGAGTAAGAAAAGTATTTTTTGAGTGTGCAGTTGTTTTCAGTTGTTGAAAACTGCTATTTATTTACTAACTCTAAAGTAATCTAATTATGTATGAAACTTCTTTTCTTTAGTGGATTAATGGTATTCTTTAGTAGTTTTATACAAAATAAAAAATAAATTGTGTTATTTGTTGATTCATAAAATCTAAGGCTATAGCTACTAGTAATTTAAGAGTAAAAAAAAAAGTGTATATAGGCAAAAGTTTGTGAACAGACTGATTTTCTTTTCCTGTTTTGCCTGCATACAGTGCTCAGCATAATTGAGTACACCCCATTTTGAAAATTAATGTTTTGATCCATTTCTCAGTGAATATAGGCAATGTATTTTGGTACATTTAAACAAAACAGATTTATTAAACAGATATATTCATTGAAATAATATTTTAGTCACCAAAATGTTTAAAAATGGAAAGATAATACAATTAAATTTAAGCTTAATAATGCAAAAATAAATTACAACCTACAAAATAAAAATAAAAAAATTAAATTGTGTTGCTTCTCTTGATTTTTCCTCTTTTTAAAGTTGTATTTAATAGTTTTTAATAACATACATATTTGGGTGCTTTATTTTATTAGATTAGCTCCAGATTTGGCTTCAGTACTGACTAATCTGATGTATCTGCACAAATATAATATTGTATAGCTTCCTATTAAAAATATTAATTTAAAACATAGATTTGTGAGGGGTGTACCTATATATGCAGAGCACTGTATATTTTTGACTCTTAATGTAACTTTTATAAATCACAGAGGCCCCTAAAAATCTTAGTAAATATTCTACTCAAAAGAAAATTCACCTACATCTTAGATGCAAGTTTTCCCTTTTTGAGTTAACGGTGCCTTTAACCTGATTTCTTAAATCATCCGATACTCTGAAGCTCTGCTTTTCGGAAGCTGGGTGATTCTAATGGTTGATGTGCACTTGTAATCAAATACACATCCTTCTTTAAAGGCACAGTTCAGCTTATAATTTAAACAGACACAATTTTCTCTCCAACATGTTGCTCCAAACTTGCATACTGTTAATGTATCTGGTGAAAAATTGTATGTAGTGCAAAATTGCATAAACTTATAAAAAAAAAATTAATATTCCTTAAATAATCCTCAATAAACAGAAGGAACCCGCAAAGAGTTTCTTTTTTACTGCAATGGCTAAATTACACTAAACGAAATAGTTTTAGAGCATCTGAATGTAAAATAATAATAACACCACTCATAACACAGAAGAAATCAGAGGAAAAACATTCAGAGAGATCCTGCAGCAGACCATGGGTCGCAATCAGCATGAACTCTTACCTGGGTAAAGCTGGTACGAGCCAGTGTGATGCCACTTCACTAGATATTTCATGCCAATTGGACGCCAGGCTTTGACATCCATCACCCCCACATTACACAAACCCACTGCCATCGAGCAGAGGCCGAACAGCCATTAAACTGTCCATAGAGCTCCTGTACATGCTGGCCGCAAACATTATGAGCAACTATCCAAACAACAACGCAACGGGACTACAAGCATGTATGGAGGGGTAAACAGATAGTGGCCTGTGCACAAAGCTCTGAACGGGCAGATGATCAATTATTGAAAGCAGAGAGAGGAGGGAAACTTAGAAGGTAGAGGTAGCAAAAACCTGCAATATTAATGCTGGATCAGCATAGCCAACCAGTAGCACTATGGCTGAAGACAAACATGCACACACAAACAGATGGGACAATTTTGGATTGTGTTGCATAAAATGGCTATCATTCCTGGTGTAATAGAGGTCAATGGAAAAGAAGTGTGTGATTCATGAGAATGCATGCATTAAAAATCAATAAATGTTTAAAAGGTTTTCATGGTTTACTGAATCATAATTAAATAATAGATCTAATTGAATGATGGAATAATAAACATTTAATAGTTGTGGTAAATTTTAAAAGTTCTAACCTATCTGTCATGGTTTGTTGTTCCACTTTTGAAATTATAACATTTACAATAAATATTATATTTCATAGATGTCTCACATTGTCTCTTGGCAACATTAATATAATAAAGAATAGTGTAGAATGCTTGATAATAATATTTTATTTTATTTAGTGACCCTTTTTTAATGTTTTTTTTGACATACATAATAATAAACATACTATTAATAATAACATACCTTAGTATTTTCATAAACCAATGAGACATTGTACTCAACAGCCCTGTAGTTAAGCACATTTACTCTATGTATTAATATAAATTAAAGTTAATTTAAAATATAAATTTAATTAATTAAAATATAAATTTATATTAATCCATCTATTAATCCAGAATTATTAGCCCCCCTTAGATTTTTTTCCCCTGTTTTGATATTTCCCAAATTCCCAAGTTTAACAGAGCAAGGAAATTTTCACAGCATGTCTGATAATATTTTTTCTTCTGGAGAAAGTCTTATTTGTTTTATTTCGGCTAGAATAAAAGCAGTTTTAACCACCATTTTAAGATCAAAATTATTAGCCCCTTTAAGCTACATATTTTTTGATAGTCTACTGAACAAAACATCATTATACCATAACTTGCCTAATTACAATAACCAGCCTAGTTTACCTAATTAAATTGTCTTAAAAAAATTATTGGCAAATATTAAATAAATAAGTTATTAGGAATTAGTTTTTAAAACTAAAAGAAAGAATCTCTCCGTTAAACAATAATTCAGGGGGTTTTATAATTCTGACTTTAACTGTATATGTTGACTCAAAATATAGTTTTGAACTGTGACAGAGAATGTTTTGCAATGTTTTGATGCTTCTCCTTTGTAAATGTTTTTGAAATGTATTACCATTTCTTGAATAAAAACTGTTACCAGTTGACGGTCATAAGGGTCTACAGAAGGACTCTGTATAGAACTTTATTTTCTCCAGCGCAGTTATTAACTACACAGCAATTGACATTGAATTACCAGACAATGGTTATTAATACGGAGATTTTCCCCTTGGAAACAATTATAAAAGATCATGTCAAACTACTTAACATAATGTTTTATTGTTTTGATATCAACGTATCACGTTGAAAATGAATATTTTATTTTTTTGAAATACTAATTTGGCTTAAAATGGAGTGGTTCTGAACTTTATATTCATAAAAATACACTGAAAAAAATACTTGAATCAAATTAAAATATTAAAGAACTCATCTGTTTCCATTGAAACATTCCACTTTTATACATTGATAATATACAGTTAAAGTCAGAATTATTAGCCCCCCTGTATTATTAGCCCTCCTGTTTATTTTCCCCCCAATTTCTGTTCAATGGAGAGAAGATTTTTTTCAACACATTTACAAACATAATAGTTTTAGTAAATCATCTTTAATAACTGAATTATTTTATCTTTGCCATGATGACAGTAAATAATATTTGACCGGATATTTTTTCAAGATACTTCTATACAGCTTAAAGTGACATTTAAAGGCTTAACTAGGTTAATTTGCCTAACTAGGCAGGTTAGGGTAATTAGACAAGCTATTGTATAGCGATGGTTTGTTCTGTAGACTATCGAAAAAATAGCTTAAAGGGGCTAAAAATTTTGACCTTAAAATGGTTTATAAAAATTTAAAAGCTGCTTTTATTATAGCCGAAATAAAACAAATAAGACTTTCTCCAGAAGAAAAAATATTATCAGACATAGTGTGAAAATTTCCTTGCTCTGTTAAACATCATTTGGGAAATATTTAAAAAAGAAAAAAATTCAAAGGGGGCTAATAATTCTGACTTCAACTGTGGATAAATAGGATTTCTAAAAGAGCTAGTGACACCAAAGACTGGAGTAATGGCTGCTGAATATTAATAACCCCTTCCACTGTATTTATAAAGCGTTTCTTAAAATAATGAATCAATCCAGCTTAATTAGGAAAGAGAATCATGAATATAGACGTCCTGTCTTTAACAAAGCCAACTCCATCCTATAATACTAACGCCGAGATGTCTACCAAAACACAACTCAAGTCTACAGAAAGCAGAATAATGAAGAAAATGAAAGGTTGCCGAGATTTGCACTTTGATCTCAAGATGGATGGGTGTTACTTGACATTACAAGTGGTCTTTAACTCGGAGCCAGATTTACGACATCCTGCCATGACTAGAATTGATCCTGGAGCAGTTTCTAAGAGATCTAAACGCTGATCCGGCCAGTCTGACCTGCTTAATTGCGAGCTGATCTCAATCCAGATCCTCTCACGGTTGTTGTTGTGCGCCCGCATGCAACAAACACACACGTTAAAAAGCAACACTACAGGACCGTAAGAGCAACAGCTCTTCGCAGTTTTGCATGCACACATTTGTCCCTCAGTTCCTTTTGTTATGCACAAGGCTGAAAGATCTACAGCTCAAACCGGCAGCGTTAAGCAAACATTCGCAGAAACCCTAGCACATTCACACATGCTAATTGGAGTGTTGAGAAGACAGAAGAGAGTTAGTGTTTGTTCAATCCTAATGAAATACAGAGATTTGGCCCAAAACGGTGAGTTCACCATGACCCGGTGATGAATCATAGACTACACATTACTTACTGTACAGTCATTATACAGCGTGTTGGTTTGTTTTAAAAGGGGAAGCTGGGTTGGTTCAAAGAGGAATGCAATGAAACATTAGAATATCATTTGTCACATTACACTGTTATGAAATATGTGGTGAGGGAAGGGGAAATTAATCACAAATCATGTTGCAACTGATACGCTATTTACTCCCGGTAAGACTTAAAACTGCTAGTTTATCTACGTTCTTCCATTAAAAAAGTAATTCAGCTGGATTTGGGGGGGATGGATGGCAGAGAGAGAACAGAAAGCCAATCTTATCATGAGATCACACAACTAAAAGACAGCCAAAACGGTGTTTGCTTTCTCCTTCATTTGGATAGAGCTCTATCCGTTTCAGATCTACACATATATAAACCGCATTAGCATTGAGAACACAGCAAAGAAACACAATAGTTTGATTTCTTTAAAGAGAACAAAGTGATAATGTAGTAAAGTAACTGAGCACAAGAACTCATTTAAAGTCTAATTGAGACACATATATGAAATAAATAAGTACAGAAAAAGAAACTGGAATGTGATAAAAGGAAGGCAGGAAAACAGACAGAAGATGAGAGATCTTAATATTGAAATACTGATTACTCACCACCATCAGAGACAGCTGCAGACTGCAAGAGAACACAGAGAGACATGTGTGAGTGACTCTCTTCGCCAACAGAAACACACACTGAAGTCTGCAACATTGCTGGGTGCTCTGGTGGCATGATATACACACACACCAGCTCTTCCTGTTTTACTGGTACAGTGTTTCACACACACGCCTCCTCCTCGCTCATTCACTGATAATGAGATGCATCAGGTACATTCCAGCCAGCTTGAATCGTCAGGCCCCACCCACTGACACATCAGCCCCGCCCACGTTGAATTTGCCTGAGCATGTCAGATAGAGCTTTTAGCGAGCCATTAAGCAAGAGACAAATTTATTTTCCCCCTTAAATTACAAATACTGAGTGATATCATTTTTACACAATGTGAAAGAGTTGTGAAAGTTCAGACCTGGTTAAATACATCTTTTTTATTAATGATTTAATGGATTACAGTGGTGTTCCATTTATTGCAGTGTCAAATGATGCATTTTACAGTCATAACAGTGGCGTTCGGGTGAGAGGATGTGTAGAGTGTTTGTAATGGAAGAGAGCCAAAGTGATTTCCTTTAGATTTGGGCTCAAAGGTCAGTTAGTGATGAAATTATCCAGGGTGTGAGCTTAAATAGAGACGTTTTTCTACAAATAGTGCTGTTTTAGATCGAGTTTTTATTTTTGTGTAATTGATATACACTACTATTCAATAGGTTGGTGTTAGTAACATGTATAGACCATTTTGAGGGATGCAAACAAAAACAATGGTCCCAATGCATTTCCTCTTTTACATTTTTAATTTCTATAGCTTCTGAGAATCCAAAATGTGTCACATATTGATAACAATTGTTATGAAAGCTCTATTAACTCAAAGTTATGAGTGAATTTACTCTTGTTGCAGTTATGAAATCATTTGATAACAAACAGGACATGTTCATGGGATAATGACATGACCACATTGAAATGGTCTATATATATTAAATGAATGCCTTTTTAAACAATATGGATGCATTGAAATGTGCCAGAATTGTTATCAAAACATTGTTGTGAAATGATGTTCTTTTAAACAAGGAATCATGAATAAATCTTTTGTTCATAACTGATTACAATATTGATAATTATTTATTATTTGTCATCATTTCTGAAAAAGCAATGGCTGCTAAATGACAAAGTGACAAACTGGGGCATTAGACGTAAACAAGAAGTAAGGACTGGTGAGAGTGTTATGGAATTAAATTATGCACGTGAAATGGAAAGAAAAAAATTGCGATGTTTGTGTTTGTGTGTCTGCGGTCTGTGTGCGGTCCTTTACTGACAGCCGTGTGTGTAGATCTTGTCAGAAAATATGGCGAAAAGTCATACATGACAGTGTTTACTGAAGGTTATTTACTTTAATAATGCCACTAATATATGCAAACTCCACATCTTAATTCCATTTTTGTTTAGTTCAGTTATGACTTTAGTCGAATTAAGGTAATCAAAAATCCCTGTTTTGAGCTTATGTAAGCCTACAGTTCAAAATTCATGTTTAACTGAATAAACAGTTAGTAAACACAAGTACATCTTATTGAACATGATTTATTTTAATCACCAATTATCATAGTAGAACAATTTTTTTAAGCAGTTTGTGATGCATTTTCTAAACAAGAGAAGAGCCCCTGGACTAATGCGCTACCTGGCTTGAGAAACCCGTTCTCAAAAACTTATTATTTGGGTAGCACACATATTTTGAATGCCTTTGGCAGAATTCAAATTAGCCATTTTATTCTAGATTAATTCCAAGATTAATCTAGATTTAAAAAATTATATATGCCCACATTTTATATATATATATATATATATATATATATATATATATATATATATATATATATATATATATATATCCTAAGAAAAGAAAGATATCGAAAGATGCCTATTGAAATTGTTGAAATTGTAAAGAAATCTGTTTTCTAAAACTAATTAAGACAGCAGAGGTCAATAAATTATTTAAATTATTTAGCCGGACATCTTTACTGATCCAAACTATTTGAAATGTTTCTTAAAATAAAATATATTGTGTTAAATGAAGGAAAAGGTTGCAGTTTTTAAACCATACATTTAAATAACATTTTAGTGCAATAACCAAAATACTGTGATACTGTGAAACCGTGATATTTTTATCCAAGTTAAACATACCATCAGCATCTTATACTGGCCCATGCCTAAACCATGCACAATCCAGAAACTGTCATGGAGAAGTGGAATAAAAAAATAACCATGTTGTGTTGCTACTATAAAGACGGATAAACAGAAAGATGAACAGAGTTTCCATTAAACTCTCTACACAAACAAACATGCTGGACTTACAACAGTTCCTTTCCCCTACATGACCCTGCAATTAAATCATCATTGACCCTTAGGTTATTTAATACTGCATTTGGAAAACTACAGAGCCCAGGAAGTCACCTCTAGGAGGAAAAAAACAAGCAAAACAAAAACAATCTATCAAAAAAAAAATCCTTAAATAATTTCAACTATTTCCTTGATTTAACAAACTTTGCTATTAGCTCATATCGACAAATTATATTTAAAGAGTTTATACTAGCTGATGATTGACTATAAAGCTTGTTTAGCATGCTGTCCGAGAAAGAGCCCTGAGCTCATAAGATCCTCGAACCTGGGGCTCCCTCCTGTTTGCAAGACAAGACGGGAGTTTGAGCTCAGGTAGATCTCCAGAACTCCCCTGCAGTAATAGCTAATGAACAGATAGTGATTGCTTTTAAGTAGGGTATGCACCGGATCAAATCAGCATATGAATTTCGGTGCTGCAACAAGAACATAATGCAGGTCGCGCACCGGAAGCAAGCGGCGCCATGCATTTTAGAATCCGCAAGTCAGCTTATACAAGTTCATATTTCTGCCATGCCACAGAGCACCATCTGAATAGTTTCATTTTAAATAACATGCGAATGTGCACATCTGGTGTGTGATGCTATCGTCATGTGTGCTCTGTGCCGCGGCTCTGAGCAGCGCATCCGCTGTGTGACGCGCTTAAGAAGCATAAAGGAGTGCATTAAAGACACACGTGAGTAAGCGTTGTGTCACACCATCTCTAAATGTTTAATTCTAAACAGCTTTGAGGGATACGGATGTCAGCGATGTCAGGCGTTTGTTATTGTAGCTTATAGAAGGCAAAGCGCGCAGTACAGCACATGCGGCGAGCGACTCAATTCATCAACATGCATGATCGCGTTCATCTAATTTGCTTAAACTAAGCATTCTACAGTATGGCTATATTTTACAAGCAAGGATTCTGACACACCAACATGCAGCGGATGTTACAAAAGTTGCGTGTCAAACACGTCAAACTTATAAAATGTGAGGGCTCATGGAATCACCTTAAAGGTGAGCAATGGACCATCTCTGACAGCTTGTGACATCATCTGACACATTATCTGAGTACATTTATATGGACACCAATACTTGATTTTAATATGATTAAGACACTACTCTAAGCAAGAGTCAACTACTTTAACAGTGATTTTTTTAAATATCTTAAAGGACCACAGACACAAACTGCGAAGGAAACATTATAGGCTGGTGACGCAATGACGTTGATGGATCTATGTGCTATAAAATGTAACTGGGAATCATGAATGTAACATTCAAAAAGCAAATCATGTAAACACTTGTATCATATTATTGTCTTATTCAGATTAAGGCAGATCATTAGATCACTGATGTCCATGTAAAAGTAGTCACAAGCCCCAAATCCAGAAAAAAGGTGCTCCCTGATTTTGATGACAGCCTTTCCACAGGTTAGCAGTAAGCTAATGTAATGTTTATAGCATAATGCAAATCTTGCATTTATGCTAACAAACAAATGATCAAATTAAGTATATTAACGCAATTCAAATATATAAAATATGAATTGATGTTTACTTTAAACTTATTATAAATATATATTTGTATGGTTGAATTATAATGATAGTGGCGAGGCAGTGGCGCAGTAGGTAGTACTGTTGCCTCAAAGCAAGAAGGTCGCTGGTTCGAACCTCGGCTCAGTTGGCGTTTCTGTGTAGAGTTTGCATGTTCTCCCTGCCTTTGCCACAAGAAAGCTGGTAAACTGGTAACCTTTGACTTTCATAGTATTTGTTTTTCCTGGTATGGATGTCAGTGGTTACAAGTTTTCATCCATCTTCAGAATTCCTTCTTCAGAAGATCTGAAAAACTTGAGAGTGAGTAAATAGTGAGTATGTTTCATTTTGAAGTGAACTGTCCCTTTAAGTCTCTATGTAATGCCAGTCTGGCTCAAAAGCTGAATCTGTCCCTGGCTGACATGAGCATAGCCTATAACTTCATTATATTGGTCTAGTGACATCAAGGACACGTTCTCTACTGTCTTACTTCAACTATATTACTATCATGGATGACTTTGTGGTGTAAACCATTGACTGCTGAGCCTTGCTGAAAGATAGAAGCCTTTATTATATAAACACAAAAGTGTCGAAAGTTTGTTTCACAATCTATTTTTATCACCTAACCTTCTTTTACATCAGTGTCCTTTATTAAGACATTTATTAAAAATACAAGACGCGTTAATTGTTGAGTTATTGAAGCATGTTGACAAGGACTGCACGGAGCATTTACAACTGAATGAGTCAAAGGGCTAATTTCAATGTAACAGAATTATCAGTCTGAATCAGTCAGGGGTGCGTTTGCGAAAACCATCGTTAGCCAACTAAGGTCACAAGTTGCGTCATTACAAACGTAGTTAGTTGATTTGACGTTTCCCAAATCCACCGTTCCAATGAACATTTGCAAACTGTGTCGAAACTTGTTTGCTTGTCCACCTCTAGAGCTTATAACAAATGATAAACTTGTTTTATTGATTAATTAATTTTTCTTTGGCTTAGTCCCTTTCTTCATCAGGGGTTGCCATAGCGAAATGAACCGCCAACTTATCCAGCATATGTTTTACACAGCGGATGCCCTTCCAGCTGTAACCCAGTACTGGGAAACACCCACATACACTTATTCACACATAT